CGATCCGTTGCCGGACACGGAAAAAAGACAAAAAAAAGAATACTTACAAATGATACTGGATCTTCAAAATGCAGAAGACTAGAGAAAGGGTCAGTACACTTTCTCTGTAAAGGGCCAAATAGTTAATATTTTAAGGCTTTGTGGGCCAAATATGTTCTCTGCTGCATATTGTTATTTGTTGTGCCTCCACCTCCCACAATCTTTTAAAAATGTAGAAATCTTTCTTCTAGATGTTTAAACAGAAAGCAGAGAGGTTAAGCAACTTCCCCAAAATCACACAACCAGTAAATAGCAGATGGATTGGAAATAGAGCTTTTCTTGTGAAGGAATTTAGAGTTGGAAGGAAGGAAAAGGGAAGGGAGAAATTAGTTGGGAAGGAGATACGGGGAATGGAGAAAACAGTCCTGGAGTTAGGTCCTTTCTTGCAGTTGCAAAATAGTTTTCTTTGAAACATAGTAAATATTGAGAAAATTTGGAAAATACTTGCATTTTCCTAAACTAGGAGTATATAAGCAAATCAGCTCAGGTATGATTGCCCTGGAGAAACCAGTTATTTAAAATAACCTACTCATAACCGAGGGCTGTCGCCAGAACACTTCAATATCATTCTTTTCTTTTAGCTTATGGGGGCATGTCAAAAGATGTTATAACCACTCTTGTCAAAAAAGAAGTGGGTTAGAGCAGTTTGCTCGGTTTGTTTCTTATTGTGTTGGGCCCTCACTTTGGGCAGTAGTGCACATGTGACCACAAGGTGGCAGTCAAGCCCTTCTAAATGGCCTCTTTGGGATCTGAAGCTAGGCTGAGAATCTCATTGCAGATTCCAGGCACCTGAGTGTTAGGAACAAGGTCATGCTTCCGCGTGCAATGGATTTTTTCATTCCCGATCTGAGGAAATGTGAGAAAGTTATCACTGACCGTCTTGAGGTTTAAATGTAGAATTTCTTGGCTGCATGCAGCCAGTACCTGAATCCTGTATAATATCTCTTGATCATCTTGTGGGAAGAGCACTTGGCCTCGGGAAGATGATTTCTAGTGACAGAAGCTGTTTAGTGCAGTACATTCTCATTGACTTGTTAGGGAATTTGGTTGAGAGTCAAGCTCTATTTAGGATTTGTAGATTGCTCATTAACTCTTAAATTCCTCTTAGGAGATAATTTCTTTCCTATGTTGGTCTTACAGGTTATTACATACATAATTGCTGTTAACATTTGGTTTGAGCAGAACAAACTGTAAGCAGAGGAGTTCACTGAAGGCTAGAAGCCCAAGAATTACAAAACATTAATTAAAGAGTGCTGAGTAGCATAAATAAAGGAGTGTTAATACTGACTAACACTAAGTGCTAATTAACACTAAGTGCTCTAATGCAGTTCTCAGTGTTTTATATCATTTATTTTTGCAAACTTGAGTCACAGAATTTTGGGATGTTTGTGCTGAAAGGGACCTTGGAGGTCTTTCATGGCATTCATTCATTCCACAATGGTTTGTTGACTGCCCATCAGTAGCAGGCCCTTGCAGAACACAAAAGGAGGGTTCCTGGGAGAAACAGTGTTGTGTAGACCAAAGAACGTGGATATAAGAGTCAGAAGGCCCTAAGTTCTCAGCCTTCCAACCATAAGCCATATGTCATGGGCTTGTTGCCTGGCCTCAGGGAGCTTCGATTTCCTTACTAGTAAATTGGTGGTAATATATATTAGGCAGGCGTGATTAAAGGATAAAATAAGAAAATAAAGTCACACTTGTTTAGTACTTTGCACATAGAATATGCTCAGAAAATGCTGGGCTGGCCCCGTGGCTCACTCGGGAGAGTGCAGCACTGGTAGCGCTGAGGCCGCAGGTTCAGATCCTATATAGGGATGGCCGGTGCGCTCACTGGCTGAGTGTGGTGCAGATGACACTGTGCCAAGGGTTGCGATCCCCTTACCGGTCAAAAAAAAAAGAAGAAAATGCTAATGTTATACTATGACATGTAGAATTGTTACTATTCAAAGGTCTAGTGCATTTAAATTCTGATTTCTGGACCTCTCCCCAGACTAAGTAAATATGAATCTCCAGGGGTAAAGTCTGGCTGACTATATTTTATTAAATGTCCCTAGGTTGTTCTGATGTACATGGGTTAGGACTGTTGGTCTAGGAGACACTGATAAAGCTGGTGGCAGTAGACAGTTCATGAGGTGTAAGTCAGCATTTGCCAAAAATGAGTTACCTGTGAAATGCCACCTCAAGTCAAGTTAAATAGAGTTGTTAATTGCAGGGCTTCTTATCACATCTGATATACTAATGTGCATTGTGAATCCCTAGACAGGAAGATGTAAGATGCACTGTATCAAAATTTATTTGACCATGGAATCTTTTTCTTGAGGGGCGTGAGAGATGGCATTGCAAGAATCCCTCACCGGGCAGGCCACTGTAAGCATTTACCATGACCACAGCCTTTCGGAAAAAGGAGTACCAGACAGTGCCTTTGGCATGAAGTTGCTCTGGTCAATTGCACTTTGTTTGTTGAGTTAAATCACA